CGTGCCCCTTCGACGGTGTTGCCTCAGTGCTTCCTTGTCCACCGAGCACGTTCCACTCCCCATAGTGTTTCCCACTCCACTGGGCATGATCACTACTCCCTGCTCCTCCACTGCCGCATATGGCGGCCCTCCAAATCGGAACATCACGGTGGCCTTCCGCTTCAGCTCCTTGTTTTCTGTCCTTAGCACGCTTATCTCTGCTCGCGCATCCTTATACATGCGTTGGAGCAGAGCCAGCTGGGAGTTTAACTGCTGCACCTCATTTGTCCTACTCTGCAGCCGGTTCGACAAGTTTGTGACCGCTGTCATGCTTTCCACACATGCCTTCAACGTATACTGATTGGCCTCCACATCCGACTGCAACGCCATTTTTTGCTCCACAGACCGCATCGGAAAGTTCAGCGGAGCAAACCCAGTGGTGTTTGGTTGAGGTTCACGGGACACCGCACCAATTCTCTCTCCTGTTGACTCGTTGAGATCGGGAAAGAGAGTGAGCAGCCCACGGGACGACGAAGCCATTTTCTCTCGCAACAGAGTGTTACAGACTTTCTCTCTCAGCACAACAGTGTTACAGCCTCTCTCTCTCAGCACAACGCAGAATTCTTCAGAGGTTTCTCTCAGTTTCTTGTCTCAGCCTCTGCCTCGGCCTCAGCTCCGTCTTGGTTAAATAGCCGAGGCAGCCACGCGCATCGCGCGCCTCTTCTCGCCGATAAACTGGCACGCCTTTTCATGGCACGCCTTTTGATGCATTCGGGCACGCCTTTTGATGGCACGCCTTTTGAGGGTGCGGGCACACCTTTTGAGGGCACGACTTTTGAGGGCTCGATATCTACATCCCTGTATATTTTTTGGGCAGCCTATCTACCCACTCATACAGTGTCTTCTACCCCGGTCAGCTTTATCAATCCCTTTGTTTCAACCTCAAATAGGTTTCTATCTTCACACCTATTTGAGTTTGAGGGGGGGTTATACACAATATCATGTTCAAGTCACCTCATGGCGCACTCCCTAAGTCGCCCCCTTGGTGCACCACCACAAGCTGCTACAACGGTCCGACATGACCCCATAAACTGTCTTCAACAACGGTCTGACACGACCACACAGTGTCTGCTACATCGGTCCGACATGACCCCGTAAACTGTCCTACTACATCGGTCCGACATGACCCCGTAAACTGTCCTACTACATCGGTCCGACATGACCCCGTAAACTGTCCTACTACATCGGTCCGACATGACCCCGTAAACTGTCCTACTACATCGGTCCGACATGACCCCGTAAACTGTCCTACTACATCGGTCCGACATGACCCCGTAAACTGTCCTACTACATCGGTCCGACATGACCCCGTAAACTGTCCTACTACATCGGTCCGACATGACCCCGTAAACTGTCCTACTACATCGGTCCGACATGACCCCGTAAACTGTCCTACTACATCGGTCCGACATGACCCCGTAAACTGTCCTACTACATCGGTCCGACATGACCCCGTAAACTGTCCTACTACATCGGTCCGACATGACCCCGTAAACTGTCCTACTACATCGGTCCGACATGACCCCGTAAACTGTCCTACTACATCGGTCCGACATGACCCCGTAAACTGTCCTACTACATCGGTCCGACATGACCCCGTAAACTGTCCTACTACATCGGTCCGACATGACCCCGTAAACTGTCCTATAACAATTTTTTTTTTTTTTGTTTTTTTAGGGACCCTTTTTAGCAAGTATAATAACCAAAAAAAAAAAAAATTGACATATATATATTTTTTTTAATTTTTAAGGCTTTTTTTTACACCAATTTTCGGGAGCCCCAAGCGACGATTTGTGTGGCTTGTGCCCAAAGCTGGCACTGGTCAGAAGTAGCATTGGCCTTCGAAGATAAGAGGTTGGAGTGGTTGTGCTGCTGTCTGGTTGTTTGGAGTGTGGTGGATGTCTATATGGATTGTAGATGCTGGGGCGGTATTACCACTGTTATGGTAAGCAGCTGTTTATTTGCCGTCTTTTGTGAATTTTTTTTTTTTTTTCTTCTTCATTTGTTGGTGGTTTCTCACCAACCTTGAAGTGTTTGTCAGCAAATGATTGGGTATACCTTTTTGCGTCAACTTAATTAGGATCGTGTTAGTTATATGCTTTTTGCATTCCCCCTCACCTTTATTTATGTAATCCTTGTATGTTTGTATCATCAATAAACCTTCCTTTCTTTTAATGATAAAACAAAAGAAAGAACAGAAAATATCATTTTGTCCCCAAAACTATTACACGTTTTTCACGTTAACCTTAGACTTCGATTAATATCAATTTTATACTCAAACTTTCAAATTTTTGATCAATTTGGCCCTGCCGTCACATTTCGTCTACAATTAGACGGAATGTGCTGACGTGACACCAAAATTCATTTAAAATTTTATTTTACCTCCCAAATTATACCTTAAAAATCAATTTATCCCCAAATTAAAAATCAATTTGGCCCCCAAACTATACTTTAAAAATCAATTTGGCCCCCATATCAGCACATTTCGTCCAATTGTGGACGGAAGGTGACAACAGAGGTCTAATTGATCAATTTGTGAAAAGTTCAGATACTAAATTGAGATAAATCGAAATATGAGGGTTAGCGTGAAAAACGTGTGATAGTTTGAGAGGGGAATAAATGATATTTCCTAAAAAAAAAAAAAAAAACTTACTGTATCAGTTTACCCCCATTTATTTAAAAGTGAAATTCATCGAACTCACTATCACATTGAAATATTAAAAAAAAAAAAATTATCAAAACGGTGAAATGATTTATTTATAGAGTAAATTTTTATTGTTTGTGTTTAACATTTAAACAATAAAAATTACAGATAAATTACTAGTAAGTCTTAATAGTTTGACTTAATTCTCATTAAAGTTAGTTCTAATAAAATTGTCGCTAAAAATAATTTTTTGTGACTATTTTTACATATATCACTAAAAATTAATAATTAGTAATTTTTTTGATCACGATTTTTATAAATTGTTGTTAAGACTTACAATTAGTGACATTTTTCTATGACGAATTTTTCAAACTGTCGCTGAAAACCGAAAATTAGTGACTTTTTTTGTGATGATTTTTTTGAACCATTGCTAAAACTTTTAATTAGTGATTTTTTTGTGACAAATTTCAAACTATAGCTGAAAATTAATAATTAGTAATATTTTTTTTAATAACGTTTGATAAAAAACACTATTAATTATCATAGAACTTATTTAATAATAAGTCCACTTATTAAAACTTATACGTAAGTTTTCCTAAAATTACACCACCCATCAATATTCACCACACTCACCATTATTGAAAATATTAAACGAGAAATTTATCAAAGCAGTGAAATGGTTTATTTATAGAGCAAATTTTTTTTTTGTCTAAGTTTGACATTTCCAAATGTATGTACTAGCATTCAACCTGTGCAATGTATGGGATAATTAATTTTAAAAGGTAATTATATCATTAGTTTCTGTACTTTAAATTTAAACGATTTAAATCCCATTTTCAGTTTTGTTACAATGTTGTCCGTTCGTTACGAGCCATTAACATTTTAAATGGAAAAAGACAATGTACAAAATTAGAAGGGCCAAAGCAAAATTCCAAAGAGACAATAGGGACCATTGTGAATAAATATGCATCCATAGTCCATATATGTATATTTTTTAATTCTATTTTGGTATCTCTCGTTTTACAGTTTTACATTATTCACCCAAAAAAAATTCTCTAGTTTTACATGTGGCATTTTTCTGGGGTAAACTACCAAGAGGTTCTAATAGTTGGAATTAATTTCTATCAAATCCTATTAAAAGTAAGTCCTAGTAAAATTATTGTTAAAAATAATTTTTTGTAACAATATTTTGCATATGTCTTTAAAAATTAATAATTAGTGATGTTTTTCTGTGTTGAATTTTCAAATTGTCGCTGAAAGTTGAAAATTAGTGACTTTTTTTTTTTTTTGATGATTTTGTTTAAACTATTCCTAAAACTTATAATTAGTGACATTTTTTATAACAAAATTTTGAAACCATGTTTGAAAATTAACAATTAGTGACATTTTTTTAATAGTGTTTGAAAAAAAAAGCCATTAATTATCATAGGATCTATTGGACAATAAGTTTATCAATTAGGACCTATCCGTAAGTCTCCTTTTTTTCCTATTTAAAATTCTAATGATAAGTGAAACTTGAAAAAATAAGGCACAAAGTGAAACTTTGATCAAACTATAGACCTCAAAAGTACAATTAACCTTAAAAAATAAAGGATAAATTACAAACACACCCCCTGAGATTTACTTAAATTATAAATTACCCTTGTGGTTCTAGAAATTACATTATGTCTCCTAAAGTTTTTAATTTCATAACAAATAGGTCCCTTCATTAATAAATCATTAAGTTAATTAACAGGTTTTAATAATGTTAAAATTTTTATTTCAATTAATAATTAAGATTATTTTATTATTGTATAGGTGAACAGTTACAAATTTCACTTTTTCAATTAATTCTGTTAAATAAAAAATTCTGACAGGGAGGTATTTGTAATTTTTCAAACCACAGGGGGCAATTCATATTTTAAGCAAATCTCAGGAGGTGTAATTGTAATTTACCATAAAATAAAATATCAAAAAATTATAGCTGTTTTATTTTTATACAAAGGCAATTTTCAAAAAAATAAAAGAGTAATTGACTTTTGGGTATTTTCTAAAATAAATGAGTTGTTATGATAAATTTTTTTCAAAAACATTTTTGTTTATATTTTTTGGTTCGTTTAACACGTTTGTTTTTGTTAAATAACTAATTAATGAATTCCATTTTCATAGAGAAGATTCAAGAGATCATTGTTAAATCCGACTTTGGACAATTATTGTTAGGCAGCGGTTATAACAACATACAGAAATTTTGAGAATTCAAGGGAAGGAGGGTGGGAGGTAAGTTCCACATATTTTCTTGCTATAAAAAGCCCATTAATTCATTAGTTATTTCACTGGAAAACATATCACACAATACAAGTCTCAAGTTTTCTAGACGATGGCTAATCACATACCTCATATTACTACTTCATGGCTTCTCTTGATCAGCTTCACATGTGCTCTTCTTATTACTTGTAGTACTGGGCAATCTGAGGGTGATCAACAGGCATATTTCTCTACTCTACTATGGTTTTTAATTTTCTTTTTTATTGGTTGATTTTTGAACAATGAAGTTCACGGTGACATATTTGTGTAGTGTACTGATAAATAAAGTCGCACAGAGAATGTGGTTCATCTTATCTCCCCCAGGGCCTGAACCACAATTATTTTTTTTTAATTTTTTTTTTTAAAACCATATATTTTGAGTAATCCTTTGCAAGCCCATGAAATATTATTCATTGTGTTTGATTTTAATTTTCTATATTCAATTTTTGTTTTTCATGTATTTTTGTTTTTAGTGAATATTTTTAAAATTTTAAGAATTTCTTAAAAAACTTTTTTAAATGCTCCTTGCTTAGATGTATCTAAAAAGTAAAATATTTGTAAAAAAATATTTTAAAAAATTAATAAATACACAAAAATACGAAAATCTACTGATTTTTATTTTATTTTATTTTTTTTTGTATTTTTGGTGTTTAGTGAATTTTTTTAAATATATTTTTTTAAAACAAATATTAAACTTTTTAAATGTATTTATGTTAAGTGTATGTAAAAATTAAAAAAATTGTTTAAAACATTAAAAAGATCCAGTGAAAATAAAAAAAAAAATAATTTTCTAAAAAATGAACCGTGAAAAATTAAACCAAACAAGCTGATTATCTTTCATTAATGGCCCCTTCCCTCAAAACCTTTGTTTTTTTATTTTTAATTTCACTTTGGCCTCTCTTATTTTAGTATTCTAACTCCGCCGGGGCTATCTCATGGCCGACCAAGGTGGTTAGGTCTGAGTCACCCATACTATGAGTGACTTTGATTGGTCGAGGAACACTATATTAGTGTGTGAGTTGATGCTCCAACTCTTATGACCTTGCCCTAAGGCCCGTTTGTTTTGAGTATAGAGAGTGAGATGGGATTAGGATGGAGGTGAGACCCATTTAGTGTTATGTTTGTTTGTAGAATTGGGGAATGAATTAAGATGGAGTACGGGATTAGGATGGAGGTTAGAAAGGGGATTGGGATGGAAGAGATGGATGTGGTATTAGAAAAATAGTGAGGGGATTAGAAAGTTTTTTATTTTTTACATGTTGGATATTTTTTTTTTTTGAACATTAATGTTTATGTTTTTGTATTTTTTATTTGTTTTATTATTTTATATAAAATAATTTAACAATTCCTACACTAACAACTATCATCAAAACAAACATAATTTTACTTAATTCTCTCACTATGAATCTCCTCAATTTTACCTCTGAAAACAAACGGGGCCCAATAATTTCGATATTTTGAAAGTTGGTTCTCCTTGATGCGGCTTATTGATATCTTATTTTTCGGATATATTAAAGGGATAAAGAGAGTCAAACTCATCACCTTGTAATGAGGTCGACAAGTTTTGGCCATATAAATAATTCCAGTTATTATTTAATGGTGTTTGGAGTTGCTTTTTTTAGTATCTTTTTTATTGATTTTTTTTTTTCTCTTTAGTGAATTTTTAAAAAAAATTCAAAAACTTGTATGGATTTTACTCGATTAGACAGACCAGAGTAGTAAAAGGTTTTTTTAAAAAATTGTATACAAGTCTTGAAAGGACCAAAAAAGAAAAATAGCAAAAAATAATTAGCTTTTTAAACATTTATTTTTTTATTTTTTTCAAATATATATTACTTCACTTGGTGCTGTTTAGTAACACTTACGTTTTCTGTTTTCTGTTTATATTTACAAAAATTTAAAAAACTCAAATAAAAACTTGTTTGGTAAAATTTTTAATTTATAAATCAGTGGCCTCAGTTTATAAATTTGGCCCAAAAATGAAAACACAAAAAATGTGTTTCCATTTTGAGTTTTCAGTTTTTTTTTTTTTTACCACCCAACACAAGCCAACACCCGCTATCATTTTTCACCACATCAACAAAAAGTAATATTTTATTATTATGAAGAAAAAAAAAAAAAACACATTACAAAGATCATAAGCATATCGAGCCTAATCTTCGAAGCAGATTTCACCCAATTAAGATTGGTTGTTTATGTGGTGACCTTTATATTCTAAAGCATCATGGACTTTTCTTAAGTGTGCAATTTACACCTTACACTTACGCCTTTCTGTTTGTTGTCCTGTTTTATGTTTACATCTTCTATTTACACCTTTTGTGTTGGTTGCATATGGTGTGCAACCTTAAGGGGTTACACACCATAACAGCACCCAAGCATCATAGATAGGCATATTGAGCTTAGGCCTTGTTTGGCAAATACCCCTTTTAGTTAAAAAGTTAAAAAGTTACTAAAAAAATCAAAAAGTCAACAACCCATACCAAAAAGTCAAAGATTTCATTTTCTCTCTATTTTTTGCACATCTTTTTGTAAAAAGCCAAAAAATTATCCCAAACATACTAGTTTTTTTTACATCACATTTTAGCCAAAAAATCAAAAAGTTACTAAAAAAACCTATTCCCAAACGAGGCCTGGTGTAGTGAAAAAATATCATATTCTTGTGAGAGAATCGGCTAAGTTAGTACTCTATTTTGACCCTTGAATATCGTTTTCCTATACCCAAATCTCCCTTAAAGTATATATAATAAAAAAAAAAACCTTAAAAATTTGATTTTTTGTTTAGCACATTAATTCTGATAAAATTGACTTGTGATGATCAATTTGTGGTTGCAGATATACATTGTGTACATGGGTGACATTCTGAAGGGTGATTTTTCAGCATCATCCTTGCACACTAGCATGCTAGAAGAAGTTGTGGGCAGGTCATTTTACACTCTGTTTTGTTTATTGACCTTTGAATAGCGATAAATTATAAAATGTGTTCATACCAATTGATTTATCTTTTAAATCATTCTCAAACAAGTTTTAATTGAGTTGAACTTAAGTTATTTTTTTATTCTTATTTTTATTTTTATATAGAATGCATATAAACTTTTCAAATAAATCGAACACGATTCAATTTCAAATAATTGGATTCCTTTTACAGTTACACATCAGATGCAAAAAGAAAGTGTGACCACAATTTTATACATGAAAAGAGTAACCAAAAAAAAAAAAAAAATTGATATGCAAACATAATTTTGTACAAAAATCAATCTTAAATGATGTGGTTATAATCTTTTAGCATTATTAAACAAAAGATAGAAAAATTCTAAATGCATAAAATTCAATCATAGAATGAGATATAACCAAGGTTTTAAAAAGCGGCCGCAACCGTTATGTAACGCCGTTACGTAATGGTTTTGGCGGTTACCGCCACCCTTTACGGCTGCTTTTACAGTGTGATTGAGATTCACAGGTGTGTCGGCCGTAGCGGTCGTAACGGTGCCGTAACAGCCGTTAACGGCGCCGTAACGGCCTGTTACGCACCATTACATAACGGTTCCAAACTGTTTCTTTCGAAAAAACATACAAAAAAAAAAGCTAAAAATGGAAGAAGAGGGAAGATAAATAGAGAAAATGGAGGAGCAAGAGATAGAGAGAGAGAAGAGGGAAGATAAAGAACATGTTATTGATTTGTTGAAGCTATAAGACCTATGCTCAAGGTTCTGAAAAGCGGTTGCGGTCGCCGTAACGGTGGCGGTGACGCGGTTGCGGTTGCGGGGTGTAAATGCCGTAGTGTAACGGTTGCAGTAACCGGAACCGTGAATTTTTTTTGTTTTTCGCACAATTTGAAAAAAACGTACCGATACACATATTTTTTTTCCATGATCATATTTATTGGGTTAAAAATAAATATTGATCAGTTTTTGTAAATTTTTAAGTATGATCCAATATATTTCATGTTTTTAAATCACTATAAACTGAGTTTTTTATATTTTATTTTAATAATTAATGACTTTATATTATACAAAAAATCAATCACTAACTATTATATACAAGATAAACAACGGAAAAAGTAAAAGAATAAATAAGAGCCTATATATATACATATTTTAAGCAAGCCAAATAAATAAAGACCACACTTATTATTATTATTATCAAACACTATATAGATAGTTTTTTTTCAAACAATATATAGATAGACACACACAAACAAAATGGTTTAGTGATAGCAGCTGAATAAAATAGCATAGGTCTTATAGTTTCAACAAATCAATAACATAATCTTCATCTTCCCTCTTTTCTCTCTCTATCTCTTGCTCCTCCATTTTCTCTATTTATCTTCCCTCTTCTCTCTATCCCTCTTCTCCCATTTTTAGTTTTTTTTTTTGTATGTTTTTTCTAAAGAAATAGTTTGGAACCGTTATGTAATGGTGCGTAACAGGCTGTTACGGCTGTTACAGCACCGTTACGACCGCTACGGCCGACACACCTGGGAATCTCAATCACACTGCAAAAGCGGCCGTAACGGGTGGCGGTAACCGCCAAAACCATTACGTAACGGCGTTACGTAACGGTTGCGGCCGCTTTTTAAAACCTTGCCTATGCTATTTTATTCAGCTGCTATCACTAAACCATTTTATTTGTGTGTGTCTATCTATATATTGTTTGAAAATAATAATAATAATAATAAGTGTGGTCATTATCTATTTGGCTTGGTAAAAATATGTATATATATTTAGGCTTTTATTTATTCTCTTATTTTTGTTATTGTTTATCTTATATATAATAGTTAGTGATTGATTTTTTTTTATAATATAAAGTCATTAATTATTAAAATAAAATATAAAAAACTCAGTTTATAGTAATTTAAAAATATGAAATATATTGAATCATACTTAAAAATTTACAAAAATTGATCAATATTTATTTTTAACCCAATAAATATGATGATGGAAAAAAAATATGCGTATCGGTATGTTTTATTCAAATTGTGCGAAAAATAAAAAAATTCACGGTTCCGGTTACTGCAACCGTTACACTACGGCCTTTACACCCCGCAACCGCAACCGCATCACCGCCACCGTTACGGCGATCGCAACCGCTTTTCAGAACCTTGGATATAACCCTATCATAGGAAGTATGTATGATTATGTGATCAGATTCTGTGTATGTAAAAAAAAATTGCAGAAGATATTCTCTCAATAATGTTTCAAGCATTAAAAAACAGAAAAGGGAAAAGCCAAAGTAAATATCAATTGAAGCGCATCCAAATTGCTCAGTTTCGTAAATTACATATATGCTGTCTAACTTATGTAATATTTGAATAAATTCAACAGTAGGGCATCAAAGTCTTTACTCCACAGCTATCAAAGGAGCTTTAATGGCTTCGTAGCAAAGTTGACCGAAGAAGAGAAGAAGAAACTAGCTGGTAAGTGAAATATAATCTTCAACTAATTGCATAAACTATGATATATACTCTTTTTTTTTTATCAGCAAAATAAAACTTTTATTGATGAACAAAGAAATCATTACATCAAGAAAGGAAAATAGATGAGTGCAAAAAGCATCACAGCGAGACATACCAATCCCAACTAGGTTGGCACCAATACGCCGCCCAATCCCTTGCTAGCATGTCATCAAGAGGTGGTGAGCAACCAATCAAAGCCAAGAAAAAATCCAGCAATAAACATAACAAACAACACCAAAATCAGCACCAAAATACCAACATCAGTACCCAAAACACCAAATAAAACAGCACCAAAAATTAGCACCCAAAACAGCAGCAGCACTACCAACAATCAACAGCAAGTGGCAGCGGCAGCAACAAGCAGGGATAGCTCAGAGCCCAACCAGCAACAAGGCATCAAACAAAGGACCACAGCAGAACAAAACCTGCAGCACACCCTATGTATATACACAGCAGACCTCACTCCAAAGCTCAAGACCATCTCAACCTCCACCAATGCATACTCTAACCTCCCTTATGTTTGAGACCAAATCATGGATTGAAAAATGGACACCCTTCAAACTTGATTTGGCCCACATTGCCACTCTTACCTTTACAAGCTCCTTCACATCGGCTAAATTCATATTAAGGCCATTGAATACACATTCATTCCTTACCTTCCAAATGGACCACAACATTGCAAAAGGTAACAGTTTCCAAACCTGCAATTCCAATTTTTTAAACTTAACCCCCATCTACCAATTCATCAAACTCACCACATTTGCAGGTGTTACCCAACTAATTCCCCACCAATCCAGCAAATCTGACCACACCTTCCATACTCTTGGGCAATGAATCAGCCCATGAGAACCTGTTTCAACCTCAGCTTTGCAAAAAGGGCACATAGATTCTTCACTGCTTCTAATGACCCCAATGTTGTGCAAGAACCCTGTTGTTTTAACCTTGTCTTTCCAAGCTAACCACCCAAAAAATTGTACCTTTGGTGGAGCTACATTTTGCCACAACCACTTTGCTACTTTCAACCTATACCCACACCTAGCTTCACACCAATTTTTGACTGATGCCAAAGAAAAAAGACCTGAAGAGGCAGCCACACAGATCAATGTATCATGGCTATTTGAACTATGATATGATGCATTTGACAGCATCCCTTGTAATCTAATAACCTCCTCCTCTTCCCAAGCTAAAAAGGGTCTCTAAAGTTGAACACCCACTCCCCAGAACTCTGCCTTCTTTGAGCAAACTCCTTCAGAGATCCTTCCTTATCCATGGATAGGCTCAACAACCTAGGAAATTCCGCTTTAATTAGAATATTCATGTCCCACTTGTCATTCAAAACTGAATTCTACAACCATCACCAATCTTTATCCTTATATTACTTGCCTAAAAGTCATACAGTGGATAGTTAGATCTTACTACAAGCAAAATGTCACTCCAAATCCTGGAAACCTTCCCTTTATCTGTAGTGATCAAGTTAGGCAGCCATCTTCCCCCTTGAGAACCATACTTGCTAACCAACACTTGTGTTTCCACAGAGCATTTTCATCCATCCCATACCTCCACCACCATTTCAATAACAGAGCCTCATTCATCTCCCCAATCCTCCTAACACCTAACCATATGCACCTTTCTCTTTAGATCGGAGCCCCCCCCCGGCAACAAAAAAAAGAAAAGATGCCTAAAACCTATCAATCACCTTGGCCACACCTTTAGGAATTACAAACAAAGACAGATAATAGCAAGGTAAATTAGACACTACTGACTTTATCAATGTCAACCTACTAGCAAATGACAGAAATTTTCTCTTCCAAGATGCCAACTTACACCCGATCTTATCAACCACGGGTTGCCAAATCTTTCTACCTTGAGGACTAGCACCAAGAGGAAATCCTAGACATTTAAGGGGAAGTTTCTGACTTGTGCAATTTAGAATAGAGACAAACTCATGAATGTTCTCATCATCCACACCCACACCCACACCACACACAACACTTTAGAATTTTGGATGAGTAGCATTGTTGTTGATTTAATCAACTTAATAATTTCTTTTTAAAATTAAACTAAAATCGAGAAGCAAAATAGTTTATTTACTTTTTTCAAAATGATTGTGGGAATATGAGCTTCTACTTATACAACACATTCAGCTCTGTACACCTACTTTCTTATTGCATCCACTTAATATTCTAAGCAGTCCGCTACATCCCTTAATTAAAGTCTCACAATTCCACCCTTAATGACATGACTAAAATATGTGAAACGGTTCTGCACTTCTCTCTCTCTCTCTCTCATCTTTAGCTCCCTCTAGGACAAAATTAGGGGAATGAATCATTTTTCTATTCTAAATTTTATTTAAACAAATTACAAAAAAAAATAATAAAATAAAATCCAAGATTTGGTTGTCAAAAAAAAAAAAAAAAATCAAACCTTTTAATTGCTTTATTATTTAAATCCTAAAATTTAAAATATTATCAATCTAATCTATCTTTGTTAAGATAACTTAGAGGGAGAAGGATATTTGAGAGAAAATTTTTAAAAAGTCTAATTTAAAGAGAGTATAAGATATTATATTTAAGGTAAAATCTTATTAGATGATAAGGATGTGTTGGAAAAGTCGTTGGCGTGCGGCAGTGGCAGGTGGTGGTGGTGAGGTAGAGGAATGTGTGATATTCAACCGATAGGATGTTGAATGAGTGACATGTGTCACATTTCAACATATAGGTAATTTGGTGAATTTTAACAGATAGAAAAATAGACTTGGTGAATTTCAATGAATTGATAAATTGGGTGATTTCAAGATAGATACATAGGATGATTTCAATAAATAGTTATTTTTTTAGACAAATGTGTCCTTTTAACACAAAGAAATTAGAGCTTAGCCATAATGACCCAAAATATTAAGAAATAGACTTATGAAATTGAGATTGGGTTTTTTGTATGGGTTTCTTAGGATTTAATTGTAAATGGTTTAATCTATTTTGAATGAACCATATTGCTCTTGGTTTTATTTAAGATGTTATAAATTTGATTAAATTGACAAAGTGTCAGAAATTGAAGTTCAAAATAAATCAAATTAAAACTAGAAGGACTAAATTAATACAAGAGATAAATTACTAGGACCATTGGCTTAATTTTTACCTTTAATCTAATAGGCATGGAAGGTGTGGTGTCTGTGATCCCAAATGAAAAGAAGCAGCTTTTGACAACAAGGTCATGGGACTTCATGGGCTTCCCTCAAGAAGTCAAGAGAGTAGGAGCTGAAAGTAACATCATAGTCGGAATGCTTGACACTGGAATCTGGCCTGAATCCGATAGCTTCAGCGACGATGGATTTGGTCCTCCTCCAAGCAAATGGAACGATCAAAACAAACATAATTTTACTTAATTCCATCGCCACCGTCACTCACCGTCTCAAGCCCATTGATTTTGATTTAGGTATCTCTCTCTCTCTCTCCTCCCGTTTACATCCCTTCCTCTATTTCCCCATTTTGATTTAGGTATTTCTTCCTGTTACATCTTTCGCCTTTCAACTGTTTAATGCAATGCCCGAATCAAAAAATTATCTCTGTCTCTGCTCATCTTCTTCTTCTACTTCTTCTGTTGTATTCTGAAGTCACAATAGTGAAAATGCAGTGTACTGGGCAAATCGTGCAATTGCTCACACTAGACTAGAGGAGTATGGCAGTGCAATACAGGATGCATCAAGGGCTATTGAAGTTGATCCCAAATATTCGAAGGCATGCTTTGCAATCTAAAACTTTTGTGGATCTTGTGCTTTTAAAATTCTGAGATCTACTTTTTAATTGTCATTATTAATTACAGGGTTATTATAGGCGAGGTGCAGCACATCTTGCAATGGGCAAGTTCAAAGAAGCCCTAAAGGATTTTCAGCAGGTATTCATTACCAATAAGATCTTTGATTAGGTTAAATTACAGACACCCCCTAGATTCGTTTGAAATCACATTGTCATCCTTATTTTCTGAAATACCACTGACCTCCCCTATCAATAACAGGGTTAACTGAAATAATGAAATTACTGTAATATCCTTTCTAATCAAAAAAAAAAAACAAAAATCTTCGTGCGGAAACAACTTTTCAGTGTTTCTTAAAAATGGGTTTGTGCTCTGAATTTTTTTTCGGAAATAGTTGGCTAACTAAGTTCTCTAGATTTACTAAAAAATAAAAAAAAAACATTAAATACAAAAGCACAACTAAACTTGGCAGTTGTTCTGTTTTCGATCTTTAATTTCAGTTCTCGTATACATTTTTGTGTTTTCAGACACAAAAAAACAAAATTTTTGCAGACACATATTGTTCTTATATCCCTTTTAGTTTTGGGGGGATTTGGTCTAAACACCTCGTAATAAAATTTTAATACATTAAGAAAAAAACACAAAAAGTTTTCTTGAAAAGTCCAACAAATATCACTATTATCAAAATATTAAACTTTAAAATAATAAAACTTTTAATGTAGATGTCGGGTTTTAATAAAATTAATATTTTTAAAATTTTCTCATCAAGATTTATCAAATAAGATTTATATTGACTACGAAATTCTTAAAAAAAAAAAAATTATTACTGTTAAAATTAATATAAACAATAACAGTAACATGTTACTCTGTCTTACAGTAATATGTTACTCTGTTTAACAATTACTCTATTTGACAGTAACATAACATATTACTTTAATTTACAGTAACATGTTACTCTGTCAATAATGTCAAAGAAAAAAAAAAATTTTACTTTATCTTTACTCAATTATGTGGGTTCTCCTTAGAGGATTTATGAAGAAAAAAACTTTTTGGTGTTTTTTAGCCAAGAGAAAAACTAGTGGAAACTGCATTCACAGAAATAAGACTCAAACTCAAGCATCATGTCTGTTATAGAAGCCCCTGAACCACTAGGCCAACCCTCTAATGAACGTTTTTGATGTTTTCTAATAAGTGAGACTCTTTTTTTCTAATAAATTTTAGAAATAATTCATCAAACAAGTTTTGATATTTTTCAATAAAGCTGTTTAGAGTTAGGTTGGCCTCTGTTCTTTAGATGTGCTGAATTTAATGTTCCTAAACCCTATTTCCACATGTAGGGTATCTCCATAAACACCTTCGATCTTAACAGCATGTACCCTTTAATTTATGGTGGGGATGCTCCGAATACTACAGCAGGTTATGATGGATCTGAATCCAGGTAATCTAAAATTTAAGGGGAAATTATATTTTTCAATCTTCTACTTTCTTTCAAATTTTACTTTATTCACTCATTTTTTAATGAAAAATGCTTGGGAGCACTAATTAGTGCTCCCACTAATTAGGTGGCAGTGGGTCCCGAAATTAATGATGTGATGTTTTGGTCTTGGAGTTGTATTTTTTTTTTTTTTTTTTTACTTTTTTAATACATTAGTGCTATTAGTGGTGATGTTTTTAGTGGGATGAATCATTGTTGTTTTTTAATTGTTGTAATAAAAAGATGACCGACTGAAGTAAAATTCATGTGAAATTTAAGTGTAATTTATCAAAAATTCAATTACTATGAAAAAGAAAATTATGAAAAATTTATAATTGAGATATATTATTTATTTATTTGAAATGAAATGCAGATACTGCTACCCAGGCTCATTGAATACAACATTGGTAAATGGTACAATCGTTCTATGTGATCAGTTACATGACGGGACATCAACATTACAAGCAGGTGCAATTGGTACAGTAATGCAAGGCGATAGATTTAAAGATGTTGCCTTCTTATTCCCCTTATCTGCATCCTACATGACCCCTCAAAAGGGCTCCCAAGTTTCTCTCTATATAAATTCAACTAGGTATCTATATCTATATGTACATACATATATCATTGTCATTGTGCGTAAAAAATGACTATTGATAAAACTAATTGTGCAGTAATCCAACGGCAAACATAGCGAAGAGTATTGAGAGGAAAGACAAATTGGCACCGTTTGTTGTTTCGTTTTCATCAAGGGGACCAAACCCAATTACAACGGACATCCTCAAGGTAACTAGTGAGACCAATTTTTTTTTTTTTGATGTGGTTTTATGATCATTAACGTATCATTTTCTTCATCTTGAATTATTTTTGCAACATTTTATTTGGACCTGTAGCCCGATTTAACTGCACCTGGAGTGGATATTCTTGCTGCATGGTCAGAAGCTACGACAGCGACGGGAATTGAAGGAGATACAAGAGTGGTTCCATATAATATCATCTCTGGAACATCCATGTCCTGCCCACATGCTGCTGGAGCAGCTGCTTACGTGAAGTCATTTAATCCAGAATGGTCTCCTGCAGCTATTAAATCTGCTCTAATGACCACTGGTAAATTATATAATAATATTACTGAAATAGTAGCTTGAAAAGTAGTTAACAAAATAAAGTGTGTAAACCATATGGGTGTAGCTCACCGCAAACTAAATTGAAATTTAATCCATAAAGGTTAAATTACAAATATACCTCCGAGATTTAATTGAAATACAAATCGTCCCCTATGGTTTTGAAAATTACATTCCACTTCTTGAAGTTTCTAATTTCATAACAAATCACTCATTTTATTAATAAATTATCAAGTTAATTAACAGTTTTTAATGATATTAAAAACATATTTTAATTAATAATTTAGGTAATTTTATTATTGCATAGGAGAATAATTATGAACTTTATTTTTTTTAGTTAATATTGTTAAATAAAAAATTCTAACAAGGGGGTATTTGTAATTTTTTAAATAACAGAAAACAATCTATATTTTAAATAAATCTCAGAAAGTGTATTTGTAATTTATCCATCTATTAAACTTTCAGTTCTTTGGTCAAAATTTTGAACTACATTTTTCTTTTTGTACTTTGTAGTCTTTCTTTTTAAATATATAAATACTTGAGATTTTAAGTTACCTTAATAAACAACTTGAAAGAAGAGAGTTGTTCAAGGCCACTGACTGATCAGTGAGATACACAAATGATAAAAAGAGAAAAAGAAATGGAGTGGTCTCATTACTTGCAACTCACTTATTATTATTATTATTTTTTTTTCCAGCTTCTCCCATGAGTGTAGAAACCAATAGTGATGCTGAATTCGCATATGGGGCAGGCCATATAGATCCTGTAAAAGCTGCAAATCCTGGATTAGTCTACGATATCAGAGAGGCTGATTATGTGACGTTTTTATGTGGACAAGGATATAGCAACAAGTCATTGAGTCTTGTTACTGGAGATAACAGTACTACTTGCACTAAAGCCAACAATGGAACCGTGTGGGACCTAAATATGCCTTCTTTTGCACTGTCTACTCAAAGCAGTACTGCACCCATCACCCGTGTGTTCCATAGGACTGTGACCAATTTTGGCTCCCCTGTGTCCGTTTACCAGGCAACAGTGGTTCCTCCACCGGGCCTTGAGGTCAGAGTTGATCCGAGTGTCCTTACATTCAAATCTCTAGGGCAGAAGCAATCATTCGTTGTGACAGTCAACGGCACCATTAGCAAATATGTGCTTTCAGGTTCCTTGGTGTGGGATGATGGGGTGTATCAAGTGAGGAGCCCCATAGTCGCCTCATTAAATTAAGTTCTGGACAACATGTTTGCCCAATAATTTTCAACAAGTGTATGAAGATACTCTTCTCCTTCTTTTTTTTTTTTTTTTTTTTTTTTTTTTTTTTTTTTTTTTTGTGCGTAAAATTAACGAAGAAATAAACATGATGTACCCCACATAAGTAACCTAAAAGAGGTGAACTTTGGGGCGTGTGGTAAAATGGGATAAGTTGGGTTTACCTTTTGCCGACGTTTCTTAGGCCTAATTGATACCTATGATTTACAAATGATTGCTGCTAAACTGAATATACTCTACAGAAGTGAGTCCAAATGATTCAGTCGTGGAAAAAATCCCAGTCACAACAAATAAAAAAGCATGGCGTATTTTAAATATATAAAAAAAATAATAATAACAATATTAGAAATTATGAAAAAAATATTATAAAATGTTTTATGAATTTTTTTTATCTTTTAATTAGTGTGTAATATTTTATTGTATGTATAATCTAATGATGGAGAATCTTTTATAATCATTTTTTATGATATTTTTTTAATGATTTCTAACATTACTTTTTTTTTTTTGAAAAGAAAAAAAAAATTGTATGCCAATTGTATTGTATGATTTTCACTTTGTACTTTTAAAAGGGCATAATATTTTGTTCATTTAGCTATAATATTAAGTTTGGTGTAATTAAAAAAAAAAAATAATTGTTCATGTTTCATGATAGTGAAAGATTGTCTCAGTAATTCATGCTTACCATTTTTTTCTTAGTTTTATTATATTTTATTTATTTGTTTGTTTTTTTAACTAATGTGATTCATAGTAGTTGAATATAACATTCACGTGAGATTAATTATATCAATGATTATTATGAGTGTAGATAGAAAAAGGAAAAAAGAAGATGATCCTGTTCTATTGTCTCATATTACTGAAATTGGGGCTATGTCAATTGGGCTCAGACTTGGGCTTGGGATGTAATTACAGACCTTGGTTTGGTTTTCATAGAGGATATGAACGAATAATTGGGGTTTGAGCGGGACGAGAGATTCTATTTACACAGTACGTTTAGTTTCACTTTCTATTAAATTATTTAAAGTTATAATTTATTTTTAATACACTTTTTATTTTTTCATAAATTACCATTGAAGATTAAATTATAATTTGTGATACATTCAAATAACTAACGGGTGGCACACGCAATGCGTGTACAATTCAGATAAGTAAATATAAAAATAAACAATAAAGAAATTAATATTATAATATGTATGTTGTCTGAATGGTAAGAATATTTTTAATAAAACCTAAGGTTTTGGATTCAAATCTTACTCACGCTTTTAAATAATATTTTTTTTAATTTTAAGATAGAAAAATTTGCCACATCACAGAAGGAGAAACCACCACACAATTAGACACCAAATCATGTACTCACATATATAATAACTAGCGGTGAGGGCACACGCATCAATTTAAATAAATAGGAATAAAAGAAAATAAAAATGAAATTAATATTATAATGTGTACTTAGCTTAAGTGGTATGAGTCCTCATACTTACCCATCTCTTTGTTTAACTTTTTAAAAAAAAATAAAAAACACTGTCACATGGCATGAGGCGAGTAAAGCTTCAGGCCCATGGTCATGGGTTCAAGCCTTACCCATCTCTTTGTTTAACTTTTTAAAAAAAAAATAAAAAACACTGCCACATGGCATGAGGCGAGTAAAGCTTCAGGACACCATAAGAGGTGTTCACTTTATAATAGTATAGATATAGATAGATAAATAAATCAAAATTTTCAAATTATACCAATTTAAAAAATCCTTAAACAAATTTCATTACACTTACTTCTTTTTGTTCACAATGGGTGCACCGAATTCTTGCACAGTTTCAACATTGGGACTTACCTATCCTTCAGAATTTTGAAAGTTCTTGCTCATTTCATGGTTCAACCATTGAGTCTCATATATATATTTTTTTCCTTCCAGTGAAATCATTCGAGATTCCCCGATTTTTTACTGTACTGTTCTAACGTTGTAAAAGGCTTGTAATTCCCTTCAAAACGTGTCGTTGACGTTCGGACCTTCCATAACTGTTCTACAACAGGGCCTTCATAGTCTTCCTGAAGGTCAGCCCATCTTTATGCCCCTCTTTCCCAAAGAATTGTTGGATAATTTTCAGTGTATTTAATGAAATAAATTCTATTTGTGTATTGATTAATTTCTTGAACAAATTTTGATCAAGTCCAGTGTTTAATATTGTATTCTTAAGATAGATTTGTCCTCTCCATTGTGCTTTCAGATTTGTGATCGTCTATCTCACAGGATAAAATAATTAACAACGAATAAATGCAGCACTACAATTTATTCGCACAATAAACACACTTTGTATTTACACCCTTTCTCACAAAAAATTAGATACAGCAAAATGCAGAGAGCAGTAGCAGATTTAAGGACAAAAATTGGAGTGAGTAATCCAAATGAAGGACTTGTCTATATATAGGTGTAATGGTGGCTTTTCACTTTGAATTCAACAGGTATAGTACTTGTTTGGTTTGAATTTTAAACAGATATTAAACTGTTTTGGGTTTGCATTTGAACAGATAAAAATTGTACAAAAATTTGGAACTGTTTTGTAAAGAAATCGTGAAGAGGTGCAAAAATTGAATTTGAATTTTCCAACTGAAATTTAAATTCAAGCGGCCAGAATTTATTTTCCAAAAAATAAAAAATAAATTCAAATGTTTTTTGTCCCAAAAGATAAGTATTGGGCCGGACAAGCCCAACACAACCCCAGGCCCGGACGGATGGCAGCGCACGCGTGTGGTTATTTTTGGATCCAATGGGTCTAGCCTAATTTGTCCATAACTTCTCATTTCTATAAACTTGGGGTGCCCCTTGGAGCCCTCCCCAAGTTACAATCCCAAGCTTTATAAACCCATAAAATTCTTCCCACCAAACCAATGTAGGATAAGCCTTAAACTATACCTTTAAGAAATTTCCACCAAAACTCCATTTCCATGGAGCTCACTTTGGCTTCAATTTTCCATTCACCCGATAATAGTTTTGAGCAACCAAATATACCACATGAATCATAACGCGGCATAGAACGTATTATCACTTTGACCAGCGAAATTCGGCGCATGGGTCTCACCTAAAAATTAGACCAAAGTTTAGAAAAAAAATTTGTTTTCCAGATTTTTTTTCAAAAACCATTTCTAACAATCCCCTACATGAATGGAATTTGATGACAACGGAAATGTAACAATATGCAGAATTTGTCAAAAGAGTATAAATCGAAAATATCTTGCATTAAGATAGGTAGTTTTCAGCCTTGAACCTTCCCTAGTGATAACATATCGGACTTACTAGCTAACCAATGGACGCGATGCCTTGAATTATTCAGACGTTTGTATAAGCCAAGACAATAGATTTCATACAAAATATCTTCTGGCACATTGTGGTTCTCACGGTTGTATTCATTTTGGCTTTGAACACTCCTGATTGTTCATGAGTGCTTCTAGAGAATTTAGCCTTTTTATTCTCATAGAACCGGCCCTAGTTCAACACACATATAAGTGATTCTTATTGTGAGTATCACTTATACTCGTCTTGATTTTATACCTAAATCAAGATATAAGTATTCATTAAAAGTTAAGCTTATCTTTAAACCCCTGCATACAACGCATGTTGCAGATATCACTTTCACCATAGGAATGTGTACGAAATTTTAATCCCTTGGTAATTTCTGGTGAGCCACACATAACTTAGCTGTCCCTTTGAACTTAGTTCTTGGGATCTCCAGTCATATACGTAGGGTTATTATTATGATGACTCTTATGTAATAGGCTTTAATCCCATCCTCTTCGACGAACTATACACTTGCTCTTTTGTCGAACCTTTTGTTAACGGATCCGCAATATTCTTTTTAGATTTTATATAATCTATTGAGATTATTCCATTTGAAAGCAATTGCCTTACAATATTATGTCGACGACGAATATGTCATGACTTACCATTATACTTATGATTTTGTGTCCTGCCTATTGTAGATTGACTATCACAATGAATGCAAATAGCTGACATAGGTTTTGGCCACATTGGAATGTCTTTTAAGAAGTAGCGAAGCCATTCTGCTTCTTCTCTTGCTTTGTCTAAAGTAATGAACTCAGATTCCATTGTGGATCGTGCGATACATGTTTGTTTCGTGGATTTCCAAAAAACAACAGTGTTTTCCAGAGTAAAGACATATCCACTAGTTGATTTTGAATCTTTAGTATCCGATATCCAATTGGCATCATAATAACCTTCGAGTACTGCTAGATATCGAGTAAAGTTCAAACTATGATCACGGGTAAATCTTAGATATCTAAGAACCTGAATGATCATTTTCCAATGGTCTTTTCCCGGGTTACTAGTGTACCTACTTAATTTACTGACTGCATAAGCTATGTCAGGACGAGTACAATTCATTAGGTACATTAGGCTTTCAATGATTTGGGAGTATTTTAACTGAGACACCGCATCACCTTTATTTTTCGATAAATAAAGACTGATAGCTATAGGTGTTCTAGCTACATTCATATCATCCTTGCTAAATTTATCAAGAATTTTCTCAATATAATGTGATTGAAATAATGCATATCCGTCAGATGTTCTAGTAATTTTCATTTCTAATATTACATCTGTGACCCCCATATCTTTCATATCAAATCTTTTGTTCAGTATTTGCTTAGTTGATTTGATCATGTATTTATAGGAAGGTGGTCGACCTTTCCATAATTCATAAGGAGTGCTGTTGGATTTCTTGTTGGGTATTCTGTTAATAACATAATTACCAGAAAATATTGCTTTGCTTTCCCCCACAAGTTCTGCGGTAAGCCTGAACTTAGTAACATGGCATTCATCATTTCTTTAAGGGTTCTATTCTTCCTTTCAGCAATTCCATTTTGTTGTGGAGAACAGGGTGCTGTAGTTTGGTGAATAATGCCATGTTGTGTACAAAATTCATTTAATGGTGCATCATATTCATCACCCCTATCACTTCTAACCATTTTAATGGTTTTTCTAAGTTGATTTTCAATTTCAGTTTTGTAGAGTTTAAACATTTTTAAGGCTTCATCTTTACTTCTAAGTAAGTATACATAACAATATTTTATGCAATCATCGATAAATGTTATGAAATACTTTTTACCTCCTCTAGTTTGAACAAATTTAAGATCGCATACATTTGTTTGAATTAATTCTAGAGGTTTGGTTTTTCTTTCAACCGA